GGTGCAGGCTTGGATCCTCTCTGCTTCATGGGTGCCACTTTCCTTTGGGACTTGGCTGGAGTTTTCTTTTGCAATCTCCTCTTAGGTGGTGGCTCCTCATCCTCAGAGTCTTCTGATGACTCATCTTCATCTTCATCTTCTTCCTCATCTTTGGAGTCATCTGGCTCTTTCTTTGGAAATAGAACTCCTGGGCTTGGGTAATATGGAAAACAGAGCTGGAAGGTGCCACTGAATCCTTTACCAGAGATCTGCTCCATCCACCCATTCTTTTCACATTTCTGCAGAGTTTTCTTCAGCAAATGCATTTGATAATTAGAATTGGTCCCTGGGTGATTCTCCAGGACATACTTCTTCAGAGCAGTGGTGGAGCACGTCTTCGGCTCATTCATGGCAGCAATGGCAGACAAGATTGCATATTCCATTGGGCTTCCACCAAGCAGGGGTTTCTCCCCTGATTTCTTCAGCTGGAATGTCCCCGATGCACCTTTGCCAGTTATTTGTTCTAACTGGCCTCTCTCTACTGCTCTCTGCAGAGCATTCTTCAACAGCTGAGGCCTGATGTCCACTCTAAGCTTGGGGTAATACTGAGACACGTATTTCCTGATAAGACTATAGGAAGCTTCCTTAGGTTCACAAAGGCGAGTAAAGGCCAGTGGGAGGATATCCTTCAATTTCACTTGTGGTTCTGGATCCACTGCAGAGCTCCTCTTCTTTCTGTTTCTGGATTTCTGAGATGTTTTTCTTGATTTCTGGACCATAACGAAACTTCCAGATGCACCTTTTCCTTTTACCTGTTTGATGACTCCTCTATTTAACTCTCTTTTCAGTGCTTGCTTAAGAAGATAACCCCGTCTCTCCAACTCCAAAGAAGGATATTTATGGATTATGTATTTTCGAATAGCAACAACTGATGCACCACTCTTCTGGAAGCATGCCTTAATGGCCTCAGTTAGAATTGCATCTATCTTGGGACGAGGTGAGGAAGCCATCGGTGTTTGTTTCTGGGCCCTGGCTAGCTGGCTGGCAGAAAGAGTAGCCCAGGAAGGTATTGTTTTTTTCACTTTCTTCTCCTTTTCCTTAGACTGATCTTTCTCCTCCTTTTTGGTTTCTTCAGAAGACTTATTTTCTTCCTTCTCTTCAGTCTCAGGTTCTCCCTTGGGCTGTTCTGTTTCACTAGATGTAGCAGGTGGAGTTTCATTCTCTTGTTCTTCTACAGTGGAGATAGATTCCTCTGAACTTACATCTGGTTCTGGCTTTTCTTCTTCCCCTTCAGCAAGTTTGCTTTTGGGTGGAGTTTCTCGGGTAGAATTCACAGCTCGACGAATCGGCATGGTGCTATCTTCTACCTTCTGACCTAACTTGTCCGCGTGGATCAGCTGAGCTCCTACTATAAGTGGGAGTGCCTTAGGATGGACGAGTTCACCTTGACACGTATCAGTCACCATTTAAAATAATTTCTAGGCTCGAGTACAGGTTACACTCTGAAGCCTCTGCTGTTAACCACAAGGATTTTTCCTAATGGTTTCAGTGTGATGAAGAATCAACCACAGGGAGCTCCGTAATCAATAAAATTATTTTTAAAAAGATACAGACATGTTATCCTGTCCAAACACTATTAGTACAAGTTTTTCTTCTCATTGAATTAAGAGAAAGTAGATGCATATATGTCCTCAGTCTATAACAGGCACCACATAAGCATTTGTTAAAAGATAGACCCAGTGCTGTCATAGAGCTTATAATCTACTGAAGGATACTGTTACATGAATAATTACAGAAATACTTAGTGACCACTGTGATAGCTAAGATGAACATGAAGAACCAAACTGGTCATGGGGTCGGGGACATTATTTTGAGGTAGCAGAGACCAGAAGGCTGAGTGGAGCTAGCCAGCCTGAGTGGCGCTTCCTTCTCAGCTGACGGAAGCAGGAAGGCAGAACAAAGGCTTCAGCTGCTTTTCAGTAGTCTAGCTTCTGGTAACAATGGGGAATGCTTATGATGTCCCTGGGACCTGCCTCTCTTTTCTCTTGAAGGAACTAAAGTTTAAGTCTCTAAAAATCTGCAAGCCATTTACCCCCTTCCCTGTTTTCAAGAGGTGAACATCAACTTCAAAAGATTCTGTCTGCTGCAGACAGGTTTCCTTAGTGAATTAACATTATTTGTCTTCTTAACTTTCTACTTAATCACAAATAAATGTGAAATAAATTTTCTCACCTTAAGGATCAGTCCATTGAATAAAAAAAGTTTCAATATTTTTGTCAATAAAGCAAGAGTTTCAGAGATGTCATTAAGTGTTTAAAGACGTGTTCATCTCAACAACCAAACCACACATAGGCTGTAGGAAGAGTTCTGAGTACAGAGAACAAATCCTTAATTCATGAGACAAGTAATTCTCCAGGCATTCTTCCGAGCACAGAAAGCAAGCACAAGGCAAGTAAAGAAGGTGTCTGTAGGGCTCTGTCTTAGTCTCTTTTCTCTTGTTGTTGAGGCAAAATACTTGACACTCAAAGTTTAAAGAGGAAAGGTTTATTTCGCTCACAGTTTGTAGGGGTTCAGTCCATAATCTGCTGGCTCCAAGGAGTGGTGGCACGTGACAGAGGGGCAACCATTCATGGCAGCAGGAGACAGTGAACACAACAAGAGTGAGTGAGACAAGTCTCCCGTTCCTTATATTGTTTCTAGTCTCCAGAGATTAGGGCAGTGCCAATCCAATCAGTGGACTAATTCAGCAAATACACCCCCTTAACCTCAGTACTATACTACAAATCAATCACACACTATTAATTCAGCCACTTCTGAGAAAATTCTATGACTTCATGAAGCTTTTGGGTGACATCTAGATACAACCTATAGCAGGCTTAGAGCAGCGAATCACCTGCTAGAGATTACCTGGGGATTGGGGAGATGGCTCAGTAGACTAAGTGCTTGCCTAGTAAGCACAAGGGTCTGAGTTCAATCCCCAGTTCTATAAAAAAAAAATTACCTGGCTGCATCAGGTGGTTTTCCCTTTTCACAAGAACAGCATACAAGCATGGAATAATGAATCAGTGGTAAATATGTGAAAAAGATTAGAAAAGCTTTTATGTACAATAGTCCTTAAACAATCACTTGAGGGGTTCATCCTGCCATGCCAGCCCCGCACCCAGAGCAAGTGGAGACAGCAATTGAGACTGGCTGTGGTGATGCGCGCCTGTAATCCTAGCTCTTGGAAGGTTGTAAACAGGTTGATCACTACGAGTCCAATCTAGTACTGAGACACTGAACACCCTGTAGACCCTTCCCTAAAATACAAAAAAAAACAAAAACAAAAAAAAAAAATGTCACTTGATAATTCACCTTTGGGAATTTGATTACTCCCCCACCGTCCACCTCCCTGGAACTGGGGTTCAAACTGAGAATCTTGAGGCTGCTGTGCAAGTGCTCCAATACTTAGCTCATCCCTGGCCAGGGGAGCTCAGACTCTGAGCTAAAACCAGAAGAAACAATGACATCTTTTCTTGAGCCTTGTGGTCCCAGTTTCAGAGCTGCCCAAGAGACAAAACCTCAGAGGGTACCTGAAAACCAGAGTCAGCACTGGAGGAGGGACACAGGGGCTCTTCCATTAGAGCACAGGGCCGCCTCTCTACTATTAAGGCCTCTGTGGGGTCTCTGTTCTATTCTGTTTTGTTCATGTGTTATTTAGTTTTTGCTAAGTTAGGCCGATTGTAAAGGAAAATGTTGCACCTTCCGTTGAGGTTGTGATCACATTAAAGCAAGCAATGCCTCTACCTCTGCATCAGTGAAAAGAGCCGGATATAACAAACAACCCCACAATCTCAGTTCCTTAAAACAATATTGCTTGTTTATTTCATTTGGTTAATATTTCATGTCCATTCTGAGTTAGGCAAGAGCAACCGGCTTCTTACATTTATGAATTTCTGTTGATGGAGAAATCTTGATCTCTAACAGTAGGTATCAAAAGATCTGAGGAGAAAGAACTCTGGGGGTGGGGTTCTAACATGGACACTTAATTGGTTAAACTCACTGCATATAGCTGGTTCCATGGCCCTACATAACTCCAGGGGGAAAAGAAAGAACTCTCATACCATACTCCCAGAAGGAAGAAAGTCAGAGCCACTTGGCAAACAGATTTACTAGCTGTCATGCCAGTCTTTGAGTTAGCTAGTTGTCACTGGGTGTAATACCCTCCCTGCAGAGAGATGGGTGCACTTCTTCGCAACAAGTGAGCTTGGGTGGGGTGTGGTGGTGCACACCTGCAATCACAGCACATGGGAGGTTGAGGCAGGAGGATTGTTGTGAGCTGAAGACCAGCCTGGACTACAAAGTGAGCTCAAGGCCAGACTGAACTGCATGGTGACCCTGTTGAGAAAGAGAGAGAAAGAGAAAGGGCAGGGGGAGGTTGGAAATTGTTTTCTCTCTACCCTTAGAAAGATAGAGTAAGACTCTGCTAGATGATGAACATAGTAAGGGAAGGGGGTTAAGAGTCCATATCTATTATACTATGTCAGTTTTATTCTACATACTTTATTCTTTTATTTTTATTTTTTCATAATTTTATTGATCGTATTACTTTATTCTTGATGCTGTGTCATCAAGACTTATGGTTGTGTTAGCTGGGCCTCGTGTGCACATCTGTATTCCCAGTGGTTATGAGGCTGAGGCAGGGGTAGCAAGAGTTCGAGGCCAGCCTGGGTTACACAGTAGTCCACCAGCATGGGTTCCATAGCGAGACCTTGTCCCAAAAACCAAACTAAACAAAAAACTTGTCACATTGCCACCCACACTGTTTTTAATCCAAATGCTACGCTGGCTTTTGTTATTTTACCTATCAGGCTAAGCTTAATTCTGCTGTGGTTATAAACAATCCCAAGGTCCCATGTTCGATCTCCAGTACCAAAATCAATGAATTGATCAATCATTGATCAATCAATCAATCAATGCCAAAAGCTGAAGTCCTTACTGTAACAAGGAATGATTTCTCCTTCATGACACAGTAGCCCACTGAATGGAGACTCTGATCACCTTAGTCACCTGGAGATCTGAGGTGGAGAACCCCATTACCACTCTGCAGCTGGAACCCGAGTGTGATGATCCCGAAAAGGCTCTTCAAGCTTCTTCCTGGAAGGAACTCGTATCACTTACACCGAAAACTTACTGGACGAAGTGTCACATGGTTATACCTACTTTCAGAAAAGTAGGAAAGTGCAAGCCCACCACATACCAAGGAAGGAGTAAAATCCAGGAAAAATAAATCGACTCCAAAGACTGGCCATCCAAGCAGGCACACAAGGCACTCGAATGGAATTGCTATGCTGATTTTTAGAATGGCTCAGAGGATGCTGGGAGGCAAACCAGACATGAGTTATTACCCTTGTTTCACTTTATGTTTGGTGCTGGGGTTGAGCCAGGGCTTGCCTCTGTAAGGCATGCACTCAGCTCTTAATTTACATCTTTAGCTTCTGTTCCAATTTCTAAGAAGAGAAAAGCCCGGGGAAATGACATGCTTCTCCAGATTTTACACTGCCCTGAATGTCAGAGTCAGGACAACCACTTGGGCTCTGATTAAAAGTCATCTCTGTTGCCTGTGCCAGCCACCAAGGTGGGAGCTTTCTTGGCACTGCCAGTGGCTCCCGAGCCAATACAATCTGTTGTATGGGACCTGTGTACCCTGTAGACCCTACACTAAGTAAAACAAATTGTGAAAAGGACTTGTAAGGACCAGCCTGACAGCTCAGCGGACTAAACTGTCTGCTTAGGCAGAGCGCAGCGGCCGGGGTTTGATCCCCAGCTTGCCATGCCGGCCTGCCTGCAGGAAGCACTGAGAAGATGGCAATTGAGACTGGGCATGGTGGCATGTGCCTGTAATCCCAGCGCTTGGGAGGCTGAAAACAGGAGGATCACTATGAGTCCAATCTACCTAGTGACACCCTGTAGACCCTGTAGACTCTGTCCTAAATACAGAAAAAAAAAAAAAAGGAAGAAAGAAAGAAAGAAAGAAAACAAGCAAGCAAGCAGGCTAGGGATATTGGTCTGTGAACTCTAGAATTGAATGCCTAGGTTCAGTGCCTAGCACTTAAAATGAAAGCATCTGTACTGACCATAGGCAGACTATTTTTTTGTCACTTCCTATACAATATGGTATCAAAACTATTTGTGTAGTATGCACATTTTATTAGGATTTATAAATAATCTAGAGACAATTCAAAATAAATTGGAGGATGTTCACAGATTAAGTGCAAGTAGTATTCTATTTTCGAGATATAAGCCATAAGGGGAAGCAAGGCTGTCTAGAATTCCTTTGAGTATACACAGAATAATTCATCTAGTCCTCTGCTGATGAGCTTAATTTTTTTTTTTACTATCACATAATATTGCAAGTTTCTTTTGTTTACCTCTCAGTACACTTACACAGAAGCTCACTAGAGTACATATGGCCACTGGCAGTTGTTGGTCCCTTTCTCCCTTTGTCTTAGTTACTCTTCTCTCCGTACGGGGACAAAATACCCAACATCCCAAATTAAGGAAGGACAGGTTTATATAGTGTACAGTTAGTGGA